CCCCCCCCCCCAAGATGTAGATGTAAGAAATAACATGCTGGGACTGCTGCAAACAACCTGGGGTGACTTACACTGAGCAAAAGTGTTATTTCTTGCTCTCTCCTTGTCCTTCTACTTGCGGGCCTTCATTTGACAGCTAAAATGTTTCCCTGTGCTCAGATCAGTGAAAATCAGGTAAGAACTGACAGCATTTGTATTTATATTCCCTCATCCAAAATAGTAAGGCAGATTGGCCTAATGATAAAAAAAAACCCTACTTTCGACTTCTTTTCACTCAATGACTTGTTATCCCATGAGCAAGATGATACTGGGCACAAGCATTACAGCTCGGCACGACAGCTAACCAGCCGCTAGGCCTGGTGCAAGCTCCCAATCCCAGTACAGTGCTGGCAGGCACTCCCCAGCCAGCAAATCCAGCACTGGCAGTCCCACTGGATGCACCCTCACACCAAATGCCCAGGCATTTGTACAAGTAGTTCTCAGGTACGTGCAATCAAGGCTAAACCTGAGCAAATGCAATTCACCCCTTTTTTTTTTTTTTCCTGTGGGCAATATATCATTTACCTGCTTCTTACAGGTTCTCAACAACTAGCCACTTCAACTTGCTCCTTCTTAAACAGGCTAAAGGTCTTCAGCTGTGAGCATCAATATTTAGAAGTAGCAGGGAGAGAAAGCTTATGCATTCATGCCCTATACTGTATTAATTTTTAACATTGTTAGGTTTTGGAATGAAAAAGGAGGAGTCTCCATGGCAAATCCTAGCTCCTACAAATAGCACCAAAGCAAGAAAAATCTTAAGGATCCAGCTATGTCTTTTGCTGACCTTAGCCATTCCCAGGTTTCACAATAGTTTACAGAAACTAATTTTGCGATTAGGTTTTGAAATAACAGCATCATTTAATAAATCCAGCTGGGTGATTACTTAATTATCTTATGGTGATGATTATTTAACTCAGTATTTACAGCTTAGGAGACTGGATAAACCTAAGACAATTTGACTAATTTGTATTTTACAAAGGTTAACAGCCTCTGGAATTAAACAGTTTAGGAAGATGACTTTTTGAGGCCATTTTTAAACACTGTGCTTCCTGGAGCACACAGTGTCATCCAACTACCTTGGCTGAGCATCAGCAG